TATAAAGATTTATAATAAATTAAAATTATTAATTAAAAATATAGAATAAAAATATATTAAATTTTATGAAAATGAAATTCTTAATAAAAATAATAATATTTAAATCTCGCAGTGACTAGGGCTGTCAAAATTGCTTATTGTTCACAAGTAGCTCGTGTTCGGCCCGCTAAGCAAATGAGCTAAACATGAACAAATTATTTAAGCTCGATATATAAATTAGTCGAGCAAGAACAGTAGTATTTTTTAACGAGCTAAACATGAGTTGACCCCAAGCTAGCTCAAACTCGACTCATTTACACCTCTAGATCCCCTTACTCATCTCTTATTTCGAAGTCTGAGATTTATGAACCTGGCTGGTTTGTCTCATCCTTGGGTCAATTACCAGTTCACTTTTTACAACCTTAAGAAACATATATTGAAAGAAACTTATCCCATTCTTTTCATTCTTATAATGTTTCCAAATAGACTCTTAATTAGTTTGATAACCTATTTTGAGAAAAATATACTTATAAAAATTATTATGAGTATTATATACTATTTTTTTCCTTAGAAAAATCAGGCATTAAATTAACATATCGTTCTTCAATAAATCATTTTATATAAATAAAATGGCTGAACTGACAAGCAAATGTCCAACCAACTGATATGAGTACAAGGCGCATATAAACACATTTAGACATTACTCCGAACACTTAAATAAAAAAATATAACAGGTCATGATCCACGAACACTTAAATAAAGAGTGTTGCAGTGTTAGACATTTATCAGATACAGACATATTTCGACATTACTCTGACACGTGTGAGGCATATATAGAAGAACTAATTTAAATAATATTGAAATAAGAACACATTTGTCCTAATCTAGTGTATTAAATTTGTTAAAAATACTTTTAAATAAATATATTTAAAGAAAAAAATAAAAATATATATTATATTTTTTCATTTAAAATTTAAATTTATGTTGATATAATACAGGAGAGTAATATTTATTTTTTCCATTCCATAAACTAAATAATGCATAAAAATTTCTTATTTTTTATTATGATTTTATCATTATTAATGTTAGATTTATTTAATTTTTTTTTCCTTTTTTATAATTTATATTAGAAAGATTTAAGTAAATGTCTGTCTATTTTTAAAAAAAAGTTATAGGGTGGTATAAATTTAAGAAATAATAAAGTCTTGGTGCTAGATATGTAAATACATAAGAATTGTTCTTATTCCGGTCCAAACTATGTGCCGGCCGGTCTCAAGTCTCAACCCATGAACCGACCGGTTCTAAAGTGTGAACAGGCCGTCCAAGCTGTGAACCGTCCGGTCCAAACTGAAAACTGGACCCGCCACTTAAATAATTGGAAACCGACAAGGCCACGATGAGGTCGCTCTCGATTTAACCAACGGATAAGACGATTAGAGGTCATCCACGTAATTTGTGGGCCCATACCCATTAAATAAATGAGAAATAATTCATTTATATATTTATTAATAAAGCACTTGTATTTTATTATATAGGGTTAATATTTATTAATAAAGCACTTGTTCCATGCTAATAATTTAAATAATTTCTCTAATAATTTAAATAATTTCTAACTATATGTTAATAAAGCACTTGTGGATGAATTGAAGACACAAAAACATTATAATTCTTGGACTTTGTTATAATTTTTGGACTTTGAAATAAAATTCAAAATTACACTTTCTTTTTAAAAATTTAAAGAATTTAGAGGTGCAAACGAACCGAACACGGACGAATAGAGCTCTTATTCATGCTCGGTTTCATTTGAAATTGTGTTTGAAATACACTTATGTTTGAAATTTTTCGTGAAATTATTGTTTATGTTCGGTTCAGTTTATTTGAAATTAATTTGAAATGTTTGAAATGATTATTGTATTGTTCGAATTATTCGAATTGTTCGAATTATTCGAAATGTTTCAAATTTATTTGTAATATTTGAACTGTTAAAATGTTAATAAATTTAATTATTAATTCTCAAATTAACAAAAAAAAAAATTTAAATAACATTTGTCTATTAAAAAAATATTATTTTTTCAATTATATTATTACAAATTGTTCAAAACAAGTTACAAATGAAATATACAATTAAATCAATTTTTTAAAATATCATAAATTTTTAGAGAATATAATTATTTTTAAAATATGATAAATTTTTTATATAATTTTTTTAAATTATTTTATATTTCAAACAATAACGAATCGAACACGATGGAATACAAGACTGTTCGTCTTTGGTTCGTTTATAAACCGAACGAACAAAATTATTTATGTTCACCTCATTTGTTCATCAAACAAATCAAAAAGGAACTATTCGCGAAAAACGAGTTTTTTTTTACAAACCTACCACATTAATGAAGATGAGATTTTTTTTTTTTTTTTTTTTTGAAAATTCAAATTTTTGGTTGTCAATTTTATAATCTACCCATAGATTTGCATTTAAATATTACTTCTTTATTTTTTTGGCTTTAGAATGATTTTTTTTTTATTTAGAATTGTTATTTTGTCCTACTTAAGATATTTGCATTAATAATGGAGTCTATTCGAGCTTTTGGATGCTTATTGTGCATGAAGGTTATTTTCACAATGGAGAATTATTTAAGTATCAACATCAACATCAAAGTGGTACACATCAATCCATTGTACCTTCAAAGAGAATTTTTAAGAATTGTCCCCATGAGGAGAATGTGTGTGAAAGTTATCACATAAGGAGACAAGTTCAATCTAATCTTTAGGATAGTTGGTTTTTTCTTAAAGTTTTTATGCATAAAATATTTTTATGAGTATAAAACCCCATGATTACTTTATATTGGAAGCTTGATGAATGAGAGAGCTCATGAATAATGGTGTCAATGATACTTTAAATTGGTGATTACAAAGTAGGTTCATAAATAGAGTGGATATAAATGAATGATCAACTCAATAAGATGAAGAACTAAAGGCTTTGTCATCATATGTTAATTTTGTTAACATATTATGTTGATGATAGAGAGTCAAGATGTCGTATGTCTAATGGTTCTAATTAGCAAGCATGAGTGGTTATGTCACATATTTCCTTAGTACATCAAGGTGCCAATATGATGAAAGGTAAATCTTTTTAAGTTGAGGACCAAAGTTTATACAAAGAGAGAAGACAATAATTGAACTATAAGACTCGTCATGCTTTAGAGGTTCAAATTAACCATTGAAGAAACATTTTATTAGGCTTGATCAATTCATATCAAGGATAATTTAGTGGAAAGACACATGAATTAGTATAGCTAAAAGTGTCATTACACGA